GCAGCAGTCACGAGCATTGAGGCCATGCTGCTGAGAACACAGCTGCGCTGGGCAGGGCACGTCTCCAGGATGCAGGACTACCGCCTCCCTAGGATCGTGCTCTATGGGGAACTTGCCACTGGCTGCCACAAGAGAGGAGCCCCGAAGAGGAGATACAAGGACTGCCTGAAACAATCCCTCAGCCTTGGCCATATTGATCACCACCATTGGTCTACCCTGGCCTCCAATCGGGAGGCCTGGAGACACACCATCTATAACGCTGCTGCTGCTTTTGAGAACACACGCAGGATCACTCTCGAGGAGAAAAGACAACGCAGAAAGAATCGCGTCTCATTGATATCACCTGGGGAGTCTTTCTGCTGTACCTTCTGCAACCGGATTTGTCTATCTCGCATTGGCCTTTTTAGCCATCAGCATGCTTGTAGCAAGCGTGGGTAGAGCCCTTCTCAAATCTTCATTCGCGAAGCTTAGCCATGATGATGATGATGATGATTTAATTAGGTAATTCCATAATACATTAAAAAATTGAAATGCACAAAAAAAATACCCTCCCCCCCAAAAAAACCCCTGCATGCTTAATCTTATTGTAATTTAGATCTTGAATTCTTGTCCTTATGTGATGTAAAGCTTGAATAGAGAAGTGGATAGATACATTCAAAAGCAAAGGTAAAAGGGTAAGCTGTAGTGGCTGATATAATCCAGTAGACAGGCAATTACCAATTCTTGTCATGAGTAGAGCAGAAGAATTTTGAAGCCTATTAAGACAGTTCATTCTTCAACATGCTGGTGCACTGAGAAGACAACATGTTAGATGCAGACTTACAATGGAAGATGAAGGCAAATACAGCAGCAGCCTCTTGATGAGCTCTGCCCAGTATGGAGCATTCCTCCCCTCGTGTGCTGTGATTCAGTGTCTCAGCCCTCCTGCTCCTGCCTCCTCCCACCCTTAGTTTTCCCCTTTCATACTTGGTACATAACCTTTGACAATTTCTAGTCTACCTTTCCTTGGCTAGGATCTTCCCTGCTGCAACAGAGACAAGCAGTATTTTTCTCCACTTAGACCAAATGTTACTTTCACATCCAAAGAAAACAAGGACAAATAGTCTTTAAAATACATGAAAAAAAATACACCTTTGTATTTCATGGTTGTCAGGTCACTCACACACAACAGGAAAGATGTACTGGTCAAAGATACATATGTCTGAGGTTTATCTGAGAATGGTAACTCCAGGCAGCTTGCTATCAGGTATTTAGAAGAGATGTCAATACTTTCATAACCGAATAATTATTAAAATTTATTTTAGAATAGATGGGAGATTTAGTCTTACCTGATATGAGGGTCTTGAGGTTTATACATTACAGGGACAAGGAGGGTGAGATGCATATATTATTTCTTTATTAGTTTTTAAATTCCCTGCTAGATTTGCCAAATGGTTTCACTGACACTTACACTGACACTAATTTCACTAAATATTCTTCCAGTGCAAAGCTACATGATAAGCAACTTATTTGCAATAACTTACTGATCTCTATTACAGCTGTCAGGTGCTGCTGAAATTACAGTGACACCAAAGACATTGCCAGAAGTATCTGAATCTGATATTTTAACTCCTAACAAATAAAATCTATCTCCAGCACTTAGAACCTAGTAGGGCACAAAATTTTGATCACTTAAAAAGAATTTTGACTAATAGTCTCATTACACTAAAAATGATGCAGTGAGCAGTTCAAGTTTTCGGCTGAACTTTTCCAAGTCGCTTGGCCTACAGCCAAAAATAACAGGAGTGCTTTGATTTCCTGTCCCTTTACCTGTCTGCCATAAAAGACGCAGTTTTAGACACCTTCAAAGTCTACTTTCTTCTAAACATCCAAGCAGGATGTCCTGCTTTAGGACATAGGATAGCATCACCACACCAGTGAGCAGCTGACGCTACTAGTGGGTTTTGTGTTTGCCTGTTGAAATATGGCATAGTTAATTGACACAACTTTTTGTAATACAACCAGGCTATACATTAGTTGGAGCTTGAATCAGATGAGCAAAGTGCAAAATTAGTACCTTGGGGCTCAGATTTAGGTACAACAAATTTCATTAACATTTCTGATAGGCATCCTAAAAGAACAAGGTGTATTAATAAACAAACTAGAAACTTGGATGGAATATCATATGATTCAAGACATGAGCATTTACTGTTCTGATTCCCATTTCCATTCTGTATCTATTATTCTCTCAAAAAACCCCACCCACCCACCCAACCATCAAAAACAAACCCCATATAAAACAAAATACAAAAAACCTCCCCATAAAACTCACCCCTACCCTAAAGCTCTAAACCACAGGAAAATTAGTGAAGAAGAGACGGGAACTCTTTGGCTGGATAAGATCAAATTTAAGTGCCTCCCAGACTCTCTGTTGCAGGTGCACCTGCCAGACAACACCCTTCATTAGAAATCATGACAGATGGTAAGGATTAACTGGATCAGCCACAAGCAGGAGAGGGGAAAATATCAAATCATTACAAAAGTATTTTAAGGACTTAACATAGTTACCTGTATCAAACACTGTCAAGGCCACAGAAGGAACTTGACATAAGACAAGCAACCAGAGCAGGAACTTGAGATAAGCGTAGAAGGGAGGAATTTGCAACAGGAAGGTATTAATTCCAGGCCTGGCAGAGGTGAGATCTGGTTAGCCCACTGTGTTAATGCATTCGGACAAAAATCACCACTATGGCAAACTGCGTGAAAGGAAGCAACTGCTCATACACATATCACCATGCAAACAAAGATCACCTCAAGTTATGGGAGTACACCTATGCAGATATCAGGAACTTGGACTGTATAAAGGTAATATCCCCCAGAAGAACATCTCTGGGACCCCCAAAACCAAGAAGCCCAGGGTGAAAAAGGACCAACAGGATGCTGCTGGATCCATGGGTGTGGTGATTATCTTCTGCTTGATTGATCTCTCTCTCCTTTCTTCTATTTCTTTCTATTTGTCTACCTTACATTTATTGTTAAATAAATCCATATTATTGAGTTTGGCATATGGTCTTGTTTGCACCTTAATTCGGGCAGAGGGATCTCTCTCTAGTTGGATCTTAACTCATAGCTGAGAAATGAATGTTTATCTATTGCAATAGTTGTCAATCAGCAATCACACTGCATTAAAGTGCAACATGGGTCTAATTTATTCACTGCTTGAGCTCTGACTGATCCGTGTGTTGCATAAAATTAGTCTTTGTAAAAGGCCCAGATCTTGTTACACTGAGCTATTGCAAGAGTTACTGCAATGATCCCAAAATATTTTTCTACAATTGAAACATTTACTACACTTTCTGAGGGTTTGGGTCATAATTACAAAGGTTGAGACATATTATTCTTGGATTTTTCTCTGTTATGCTGGACTTCAATTTCTGACATTACTAAATGATGTTAATTTTTTTGGATATGAATGAATCATCTATAACTGAATTATTAGTATTAGTCTTAGGTTATATAACTAAAATAGCTGGAGTTTTTGTTGACAGACTGCTAAAGAACATGATAATGTAAAAAAAAAAACCCCTGAATATGGAAAATACTTTCTGTCCTCCATACTGGCCGTACCCAGCTACTACAGCCTCAGACTGTTGCTAAAAGTGATGAGTTGTTTCTGGGAAACACTTCAGTGACCAAACATGTCACATGCTGTTCTGTAAATATCCTACTAAACCATAGACCATATATTAATATGAAATTATTATTACACTGAAGATTCTTTTCTGTCTATAACACTGTATTAATGTACTGCTAAAGAATAATAAAAAATTTCCCTGTATGTGTTCTATTCCCATTTAAGTCATGTCTCAAAGGAAAATGCATTTTTAACTTCAAGTCTGGATATTTTATTACATTTGTTAATTCAAATCACACATTTTTGTCAGAAATAACTATTTCTAATTAAGCTTTGAAAGTGGTTTCTGCAGAAGCTACATTTATCTGATGTAATGTTGTGGATATTTATTATATGGTTCTTGGGTTCCTCTGGGCTATCAATTTATATAAACGATTTACATTTTTTTCCCAAGTGATCATTGCTAACTGCTGTTCCTGTATGACATAATGTTTTTGCAACAATAGAATTTCAAAGTTAAATGCATTTTTAAAAAAATAGTTATAGGAAAACATGCAGCTAAATACAAAATGAAAAAAACAAAGTATAGTCTATTTTTTCATCCTCCCTTTTAAACTTTTTTTTTTAGAAAATACCCACAAAATAAGGTAACCATTAAAAAATCTGAAACAATATATTTTTCTTTCAAATGCAGGGATTCTTACAAAAGCAAAAATTGCAAAAACAATAGTCACTTACTTGACTTGGTTACTAGATTCTCAGAAACCTTTCCAACCCCAGCCTAATAAACTTCAATGTTCTCTTCTTGTAGCCAATAACTGAGAAGAAACAGTTGCTCATCTTTCTTTTTGTTATACTAGCATATTCAAAATTAATTATTTGCTGTTTAAGGTTTGTCATTTTTAAACTTGGATGATGGCATATGTAGTATAGAAATTTTTTTAAGAATTAAAATTCGGACAAAATTTTGAAACTTCCCCTCTGCAAAGAACTCTGACAATTTGGCATGACTTTACTGATTTAAAAATGAATTTTTAGAAGCAGAGTTAAAAATGTTTGAATTACTTTAAATCACTTACAGTGTTTTTATAGCATTCTCTTTACATGAGAAGGCCTCTGTTTCCAAGAATAGGTTCATTCAGAGTGTTTACTAGAATGCCATGGCCAAAATGCTCTGTATCCTTTTTTTTCTCTATGTCACACTCCAGATGAGCTAATGCTACAATCATCCTTAGAGTTCTTACCCATTTGCTGGTGAGTTTCTCTCTTAAACAGTCAGAAAGATGGTCCTTTCCTTCCATCACTCCAAGAAAAATCAAGTCAAGATGATGGTTAAAACTTTAAAATAAATATGACAAACATACATATATAGTGATGACTGCTTTCCTGAAATGAGCCTATATTTTTTAGAAATATGACAAACTAAAATTCTATTTGACACATATGATAATAATGTAAGATATGAAGATAACTTATCTTTCCTGCAGTATACAATATATATCAAAATGCAGTGTATTTCAGTAAATTGCAAACATATTTGCACACATTCTTCTTTTCCAGCATGTGATGATAGGCTACATTTTTTCAACTTGGTTCAATTTTCTTTAGGTTACTACCAATAAATTTATTAAATAAACATATATGCTATAAATAAAATCGTGCTACTATACTCAGTGTTGTTTTGTGATGGAAAACAATTTATTTTACTTCCATTTCCCCACCCCCAGATCACTATGCAATACAATATTTAGGCTGTCAGTACAAATCATTGAAGTACATTTTAGACAGTTTTCAGTGTAATCTCAGAGCTAAATTATACTTTTTGTTAGTCTTTATGCACATTTTAGATTACTGAAATAATTTTATTAGTTAAATAGGAGCAACATTATTTAAACAGGACCTCTCTTCCTGAAATTGTAAAAAAAGCTCAGCTTGCTTCAACACTAAACTAAACAGTAACAGCATGTTGTATTTACCATGTAAGGTCATCTTTAATGTTTATATAGCATCTATTATAATGAGATTCTAATCCTGACTGGTGCCTCTAAATGCAACTCAACAGGAAAAAACCCTGTCAATAACGAGTATATTAATTTTCTTTTTACTAATCCATAGAGCCAGTAACTCAGCCAGAACAGCTGGTATTCTTACCTCATGTATCAGCAAAAACTGAATAACCATACTGTTATAATGAGATCTCATGGTATTAAAACATCATTTAAGTTATGGCAGTTACTGTTATGGGTATGCTGCAGAATAAAACATTTCAAAAACAAATTATGAACTAAACAGTGCTCTGTGAGGTTGCAGAGTAAAGAACTTTATGTGATACATCGATCAAGTAATAGCTATTTTACTTTGAGGTTAGGAATCATTCTGCCATAGGGCTCCTCAGGCTACTTTGAAGACTCTGCAGCTTTTGTCATCCCTTTTTACTTTTCTACACACTTGGGTCATAGACCACTTGCTTCCAGAAGACCAGGGCAAGTTTTCCTTGCTTTTGCTTCTGGGATATGAATAGCCAGTATGACTTTACCAGACTGGCTGCAGTAACTAGGGAACATTTTGACCTGGATATATCATCATACAGTCTTTAACATGATTAAAAGAGCTTTCCAGTTGTTTTCTATTTCATCCTAAAATACAAACATTACTTTGTGCACTACAATAAAAGATCTTTTTTTTTTTTTCCCCCCGTAATTTCTGTATTTTATGCTTCTGTTGCTCCTTCTCTTATGTAATAAAGAAAATATAAGTGTTACTTTTCCTGAGTTGCTGAACATGCTGATCAAATCATGAGGAGTTTTAACATCAAACATATTTCTCTCTATATTTTTATCTGATTTCTGATTGGGCTTTTTTCTGAAACACCTTTGTAAGGCTGAATGTTTGTATCCAGAATTCTTTTTTCTCTGTGATTAAAGGCCTGAGAGGTAACTGTCTTCAGACAGCAACAGATGGCTTCATGTCAGCCTGCATATTTTTTTTGTCTCCTCTTATCAGCTGGTCATCAAAGGCCATGTAATGCCCAAATGGAGCATTACTGTTAATGCAACTTAAATATTTCAAGTGGAGTAAACAAGATAATGTTGGATACTACATTAATACTATTTTGCCCATAGTTAATCTTCTCCACTTTTCCCCAAAGAAACAATATGACTCATATGACTGTCACTTCAGTTTTGGCTGGAAATACTTGTAAGCTGCAGAATTTTGCCATTTACATATAAAATTAGACAAACATAAAATTAAAAGTGCTATAAGGGGAAAAAAAGAAGTATTTTGATGAGCAATATTTTCTTCCAGTGACACCAGCAACATGTAATGGCACAGTGCCCTCCACAGCTACATTGGAACATCTTCAACCTTCATCTAATCACGAATTACACTAAAGGTCATGAGTTAACCATATGTCAGGGTAACTGGGAGGCAGTTTGGTTGGGGGGCAGGGAAGAACAAAAAGGCAGGCTGCTATTTTTTAGAGCTGTCACAGTACAATTTACCAAAATCTCTTCTCAAGCACAGAGAAAGAGAATGCATCTGTGACTAAGTTTAGGACTTCAGTGACATGGCAAAACTGTAATGAAGATTAAATTACTTTTCCCTTTGGGTTAATCTTGCATTTCAGTAGGTTTCTGGATGTACTAACTGCTTCCTAATTATAGACAAATGATGATGGGTTCTTAAAAAGAATAAAGACTAAATAGATAAGATTAAAGATCCAGCTACCAGATAAGAAAATTAGTATCTTACTAGATCTTATACAGGATAAACTATGAACATTATTTTTTCTCTGTTAGGAACCCCAAGTCCTCTTTCCTATTAAATTTTTCTCCTATGATGATGGAAACATTTTGTATTTCTGTAACACAAAAAGTGATTTTTGAATAAAATATTTCTGAGCATAGGTCTATCACATAATTCTTCCTGAACCAGGACTACAGGAAACAAAATAGGGTTTTTCTTTACCTTAAACCATAAAATCTCTGTAGTAACAGCTAAGCACCAACTTTCTCAAAAAAGCTTGGATCTACAGAAACCATGACAGCTCCACATCACCTGATGTCTCTTTTTAAGCATAATCTGTATTTCTGAATATAATCCTGCATTTTACCTTCTGTTCCCACCCAACAGCAGGGGTGGATATCAGGTCTAGGTAGAAGTGCTGCAAAGTATATCCTGGGACATAGCAATACACCAAAGAAAATACAGAACAGTATTTGTTGCCACTAAACACATCTAATCATTCATTCACTAGAAAGGATACCGGGGTTCTGACTGCCCCCACTTTCCAGGTAGGAAAGAATTCTGGCACATACAACAGTTCTGCAATTTGGATTGATTAAGTAAGAGCATATGAGTAAATTTACAATCTAGAGCTGGTCAAGGTGTTAGAGTCTTAATTTATTATTTTGTCAAAAAACGAGTATGGTACAATTTCCCCTTGGAAACAATGGGAGAAAAAGAGTTGTAAGAAAAAGACTCTTTTCTCCTTCCACCTTGACTGGAAGCTCTGACTGTATAGAAAGAGAGAACTCTTCCTCTCTTCCAGTAATGTTTAAATATGTCTCAAAATATCTCTTTGTTCTTTAGCTATCATACTTCCTGTAAAACTTCAGAAGATTTAGAGCATAAGCACAAACCCCATTGCTTATCCACTGAGCAGCCTTACACTTCCCCTGTGTATGTGCCTCTACCTTGGCTGTCCTATGGAGCATGTTTCTGTTCTGTGTTTAAAGAGCAGCATTCCCAAACCAGCACTTCCCAATGTCCTACTCCAGAACAGCAATATGGAAACTCTGATGGGGTCCACTACTTTCTCACTAGCACTGGGAATTAAAACCTGGATGAACTGGTATTATTAAAACATGCATCACTTGTTGATAGCAGAATACAACCAAATTACTTTGTTATTTAAACACCATGGGATGGACAAAAAGCAGATAAAATATACATAAGAAACAATCTGAAGAAGAAATACCAGTAAAAGCATCATTATGAAGTAGAAATATTCATACAAAAATATTTTCTATATTGGGAAATTTAGCTAATACCCATAAACATAAATTCTGCTAAATTCTCCTTATTTATGCATCCAGTCTCCCTTTAAAAAGCCTTAGACTATACAAAAAAATAAAAATAATATATATAAGCAAAGTTTGTCAGAATTGGATAGCCCTTTTAATGTGCAGCAGCAACAACTTAATGATTCTTTGTGGTTGGTGTCTCTGACCCTTATCTGAAATCCAGTATGTATTTTCCATGGCCAGAATAGAATCATCCAGTGGAGAAGTCACAGATAAATCCCATAAGGTTCTCCTGGTTTTTGAAGGACAGATTTTAGCATAGAAATTCTGTTCAGATAACTGGATGGCATCTATTCCCTGGTCTCACCCAAGGCAAAAGCTGACTACTAATGCTCTGTGAGCCTTGCTTTGTGATCATTAATTTGACACAGCACTCCTCTGAGTTCTATTTCAATTCAAAACTTTTACTAGGGAAGTTTGTGTTCAGTGAAGTGAGGATCATAGTTAACCTAAGATTTTTTATATCATATCCAGTGAGAAGCATTAATAGCATTAGTTTGGTTCAGTCATAATTTTTCTTTTTTCAGAAGTGGATGCTGTTTCATTTAATAAAAATTAGGCTGACACATTTATACAAGCAGCATTGAATGTCACAGCATCCCTGATTAAACATTTAGGGTGGAACGTCAAAGTCTTGGCTAGGTCTAGAATCACTCCAATTTTCCAGAAGGGATTGGCATATACAATATATATAACATCACCATTTATCACAAATCTGCTGTGCTGCATTTTTAATGAAAAAGAAACTTCTACCCTGGTTATTCTATGCTGTCTATATTTACATAGTATTTAAAAAAGACTAAATTTGAATGTGAACCAGAAATTGACAAAAGTGTAAGTCCTAGTGTCCTACTTAGCATTAAATTTAATGTACTAATCCTATAAAATCAAGAACTCAAAACCATAAAGACAGCTTATAATTTATAGATCGAAGAACTAAGGATTCAAAGCTCTTTTATACATTTTTCTTTACGACTATATCGGGCAAAGTAGTGACAACCAGAGTAGAGGTAGTGTAATTTCTTCCATTCAACCCTTGACATGACCAATAACCCCTAAACTTTTTCTCACACGGATTCATGTTTATATATGAAAAAGAAAGATCAGAAATTGCCTTCAAAAAAATAGAAAAGTAAAAGTAAAAACCTTCATGATATTTTAAAGGATTGTCATAATAATTTTTAATCGTACTGCGAATGAACTTAGTTGACTATACAAATAAGAAATTTACAGAGAAATATTCATCACTGAATCAAATTCTTCAGTTGTTGGACAGTATTTATGGTTCAAACAAATACTTAGACAACTCAGGGCACTAAGTGTAACTTTTTAACTCTTGCTATCCTTTATTGTCTTTAGCAAAAGAAGTCTTTTTGTATAGGTCAAAGATTTGGTAAAGTTTTTCCTCTTACCCATTTAGATACATGGCCAAACAAAAATGATCAACCTCCCTTTAAGGCAGAAGAATATCTACAGACACTGAGGGCTGTAAAAAAAAGTGTGCTTTAAGAGACACTGGAGAGTGAAACAATCTCTACTAGCAACTTTCAGTAACATATGGCCAGTCTTTCTCATCATTGGCAAGAATTCCTAATTACCCCTTCTCTGAATAACGTTTAAATGTCACTACTGTACATGAAAAATAGTATGCATCATAATCTTTCAGGAGCATTGAAATGCTTAGATTTCTTACTTGGACCTGCAGGTGGTATTTCATACTGGTCATACATTGGCTTCAAAACAGAGTGACTGCTTTACTCAAGGTTATGCCATCAATTAATAAAATATTTTAGTTTATGGAGTTTATAAAAACAGTGCTTTGGAAGGTATTAGTAGAGTATACAGGCACATCCTCTTGCATGCATCTCAGTGTTTCTGGTGCACTTTTGTCTTCAAAACTGTGAGTCTTCCAACTATTCATTCACCATTCAACTGCAGATAAATATAAAAGGGGGACAAAAAGAACAACAAAATGCATTTATTATTTTTACACTCAGTGAAGCATTAGAAATGTACTTCAGGTTACTACAATTTCAGTGCAAGGTATCTAGGTGGTAGAGTGCCTCATCACACAGACTAGTTGATCCATAGGAGGAAAGGTTAGTTTTGGAGTCAAGGATCTAAGTTCCCAGCTTATTCCTGGAAATTCCCAGAGAAGATATCATCTCCTTTCTATCCACCACCCTTGCTCATTTCCTTCAATAGTGTACATGGTTTCTATCACCTTTAAATGCATGCTGCCAAGCCAAGGTCCCATTAAGATGCGTAGTTCCTCTGCTAAATATCTCAAAGAAAGGACTTTTAATTATCATGGACAACTGAAAATAATAATAATAATAAAAAGTAAAAATATCACAGTTATTTCAAATGTCCTGTTCTGCTTTAAGTACTTTGGAGGGTATGGGAATGTCTGTAGACACACTGGACACAAAGCTTACAAGTAGAGTTCTAATGGAGAGAAAAAATTTTATTCTAAAGGAATGTCTAGTGTTTGCTGAAGCAAGTTTTTAATGGAGATTGAAATCTGACTGTTTTTTTGAATACTGACAAGGTTGGGCAAGCAGAGTTTGTCCTATACAAAAGAGAAAAAGTCAAATTTTCTTCCACCTAGAGTCACACTGATGTTGGTTTTCAGAATATTCACTTGTCCTTGTGGTTGATATTTCTCTATCGGGGAAGCTGTAGGCTATGAGTTTCAGGATAGGACTCAGGCAGAGCCTGTTCAGGGTTTAGACTTGGCCATTAAGGAGCAGGGAAATAAGGAAAGAACAGAGAAAAAGAACACACAAGAGTTTTGCTAGATTAGGAGGTCAAACAGCCGTAGCAGTAATGCTGATCATCCATACGGCTGGAAGTTCAATATTCTCTTTACTCAGGTACCATAAGCTGTTGCAAATGTAGTTCAGATCACCACCCCTTTTCAAGATACTGTCACTGCAGTTTAGGTTCCTTTCCACAACAAATGCTAAATCCCTAACTGACACATTCTATGTTGTGCATTGCCACAGGTTTGTCTGTATTTGCATTGTTTCCAGGTTTGACCTGCAGCACACCAAAGCAGTTATAATTACCAGTAGCTACATACTATAGTATAGAAGGAAGAGTTACCCACAGCTTGCACCAGGCAACCTGCAGCAATACCTGATAACTCTGCCTCTGCAGAGCTAACAGTGAATCCATCTCTTTATCCGTTCTACCAATGTTCCAGAGGTATTCCTAACAGAAAGTGAGCAGGACTTGCTTTGTTTCTCTCATAAGAACAATTTCCAAGGGGGAAAAAGGCTGTAAATAAGAAAATAGAGAACCACCGCAGTGTAAATCCACCGCATTCATAGGCTAGAGATCTGCACTGCATACACGAACCACAGGATATTAATCTGTGCATTCCTTTGAGCTGTTAGTGTCTCTTAGGCACTGCATTCCAGGTGTTTCATGTTCCCTGTTCATCTCTAAGGTTTAGGTTGATAAGATATTCAATCATGTTGCAGTTTTGCCACTTACTAAACTATTGCTATGGTTTCCAGAAGTCAGATCTCTGTGGAGCACAAAAGAAAATACTAATTTGCTGAGAATGAGTGATACCATTGAAGGCAGCAGAATAAAGTTCATAAGAAATACAGGTTACATATGAATCAAACACACACAAATGTTTCAACTGGAAATTTTGATGTTTGTTCAACTGTTGACTTGTGTAACTGAATTTTCAAGGTCAAAACTAACCACAGTGTTTAAAATTTCCTAACAAAGGAATATCTCAGAATTTGACACTCTCTAAAATCACCATTGCAATTTGATGTTTAATAGATTAGCTTCTTTTCAAGCAAAGTGAAAACAGAGTTTTACTTCCTAAATAGTTTTATCCCACTCCCCAAGAAACCTCCAATGTCAAAACTAAAAGACTCCTATCAGTTATTTAATCCTGATTGCAATTTCCCTCCCCACAATTTTATGTTTAAGTATGTACAGATGAATGAGGCTCTCTAGTGCAATATAAAAGAAAAGGAAATGATGGGTAATGCAGTTGTTCCACTATATAAATGTTTCCAGTAATTTATCCATCAAAAGTAGGAAAAGTTTAATTATAATGTTGTACAGCTGCTGCAGGAATATTTTATCCATTAGAAATGACATGCACAGTGATGGCCTAGTGAAGTTAAATACTATAAAAAAGAAAATAATTCATAGCAGAAAGTTCATGCATTTTCATTTCCTCTTTTAAAAAGACTGCAGTAGAAAAAAACCAAAACCTATGCTATGAAATAATTCACTTTTCAACGCTATTAATTCAGTCTACTCTGTCATGAATACTGATGCTTTGCAGTGCATACCATATCTAAGACCAGCCATTTCAAGGGTGAATATGGGAGGGATTTCATTTATTAGATTTCTCCTGTTTCCTTTAGTATCTCTTTTAGTAGGAAGGATCATTTAGGCTTTGTTTTAGATCAGAACTTTTTACTCTTAGTCTTCATTAGTGATGAAAATCTGGAGACCTGAAACATATTCATTTAATATAGAATAGAATGATTCATGCCTGAAAGAGGAAAGTGAAAGGAAAAAAAAAGAAAAAGCAAACCTCCCTACTATAAAGTGACATTAGTAATTTCTCTCTGTCATTTTTTTGGCAGCTGATGTTCTATGTTTTGTAAACCATTACATCTAAAACAACTGAAGCTGTAAAACTTATGTAGCAGGTCAGGGGAAACAACCAAAGCCAGGTCAGAGAGTCTGAACCCATATTACCAGTTCAGTCAGTCTTGTGTCACATCACTTACTCTTCATTTTAGCATACTAACTTATCAATATCATTGCTTATAAGGAATACCATCCTCTACTCATTTTCAGAGGCCTTTGCTGCAGATATGTAAGAACTGGAAGTTTGGGATACAAAAGGAGTGAGGCATTTTCTCAAAGGAGGTATTTTTAGAAATACTTCGTAATAAGAGGGTATAATAGAACTACTATTCATGTCACAGGAAGCAAGAAGAGTAGGAATGAAAAACAAGCCAGTAATGTGAAGCAAGGGAAGCAAAGGACACGAGGAAGCTATTAGTTTAAACATGTGAGGTAAGCCCCATTATTAAAAACGTGGCAAAGGGCTCAAATTTGATTGCAAGAGATGAAGGCAAAAACCCTGGAGCTGAACAGAAAGAGATAACTGTGAGGAAAGACGACGTATCAAGTATTCAAATTTTAGATAAAAAGGAAGAAGGGGAAGTTGCCCACATGGATATGAACAGAAAGGAGGAAAGGGTGGATTTGATGATAAAGGATGGATTTGATTTGGTAAGAAGGCTTACTGAGCTGCAAAAAATTAGTGAGGAACCAAGAATGGCTGAGTGGATTAGCCAGAGCAAAGAAAACAATGAAGCTCATGCATAAAAAACACTAGTCATTGATCTATTTCTACTGTACACCTTTTGTCATCTTTCAACCACAACACCAGAACTGCAACTGGGCTACTTTCAAATGCAAAAATGTTATCATTGATTTCTTGAATTTGCACTGGCCTGTGTTGAAAAAGGTGCTGCTCACAGTGTCTTTAAAGCACTTTAGAGAATAGAAACTTAACATTTTCTATAATAGCAACTAAGGACTGATGTATGCAATAAGGAATTTTTATAGAAAGATCTCCATCTCACTGGCACAAAAATAGCACTTAATAAAGATCTATTCATTTCTCCAAACTTACAGAATATTTATCTACAAACCTCAGAACCAAATACAAATATTTCTTGAGCAGTCTTATCACGTAACTCTTTCTGTGATTCATTGATTTTGTTTGGAATGCATTCCCTGGTCTTAAATTTAATACAGAGTGAAAGGAAAATGCCATCCTAAAGGTCAAATATCCAAACTAAAAAGGAGATTTTTAGAAATAGGAATTAAAACCAGACATATTGAAAACCCCTCCAATATTAGTTGTTTTTACCTGACAACTACATACAGCGAAGAAAACTTGGTCAAATTTAGTTCACCTTCAGCAGATATTAAAGAAAAATTTTTTATTAAAATTACCAGGGAAAAAAATCTTCTGTATATGAAACTATTAACCCATTTACTTGTAAAGTCATTAGCATATTTAGGAGTGTTTCTGACCAAATGACTAGTTTTTCTGGGTAATTTTCATTGTATGATTTTCCTTTTTTTTTTCCCCCGTATAAAATTGATGTACTCCTTTTTGTTGCTAACCGCTAAGACATTAAAATAGAGAGCTCCTAGTGTCCAACTAGTGGCATTCAATTGGATCAATATGTTCGAAAAAATGCTTTTCCTTTAAACAAGTCTAAACTGCATTTTCCAAACAGCTTCTATTTATACTTTCATTGAAGCATCCAATCCTCTCATGAGATGCAGAACTGCTCATGGTGACATTAGGTTCAGTAGTAGATTCAGCAGAAGGTTGCTGCTGAACCTGAACATTCAAATAAGACTGCAGTGGTATGCATACAGCTACACAGCAGCAGTGTAATTTACACAGTAATCTATCTCAACACAAGTTTCCCCTTTTGAAGCAACGTGTTAAGACCAATTCTTCATGAGGTTTCTGAGATAAGATGCTTTTGTTCACAGATGTGGAAACTGAACTTGAACCCCTGGAAAACGCAGTCTATATACAGCAAGGAGTGGGAAATGACTAAAGCCCAGCTGGACTGATTTACTTTCTTTACCATTTATTCACATTCTGTCAGATGTTCAAACTTGTAAACTAAAAACGGGAATGACTATTCTTCCTCAGTAGTTCAGTATCTCCTGTGCATCCAGTGTAATATAGAGCATTTCTGATTTCATCTGTTTTAAAAGATAAAGATATTATTATTTCTCATTTTAAATGAACGTAATGTTGTAAAAGTGAAGCCCTAAAGATATTAAGTTTATTTCTGTATCCATATCTCAGGCCTCTGAAATTCAAAATATTTTCATATTTTCTAGGTTTTGGTTGTCCAGGGAGAGTCCTGAGGACCCTTAATTGTGCTTTATAGCTTTACTTTAAATATTTTACTTTATATACTTTATATACTTTAAATAAACATAACAAGGCACTTCTAGAAAGTCCAGTTTTCTGAGTTTTCCAAAAGTCTGTTCTCCTACACAGACAAGAAGATATCTTGCAAATTCCTACCATTAAATTTTAGGCAAATAAGAAAGGATGCCTTTGGGATTGAGGGAACACCTTGGCATTTTCCTACAATTGTTAAAAGAAGACAGTGTTGTGTACAATGCAGAGACTTAAAACTTTAGGAGTCTTACTGTGAACATCTATAGAGTCTCTATGGACATCTACTGTGCAAAAGAAAAACAGTATTAGGTAGATGGTAGAATTTAGTAATGAATAATATGCTTGGAAATTTTTGACCATTTAATAAAAGATACAAATCCTTATGAAATTTCACATGATTAAAAAGAAAAAATTAAGGAAGCTTTGAACTTCTCTGGAAAGTTTTAAGGGATTTAGTCATCAAGATATGAAAATATGATATTAAATTAGCAAAAAGTCTTCCAAAAGCATAACAGTATCAGAATATGATTTCTTAAAAGCTGGGCTAATATAATAATCAAATTACTGCACTCCTAGCTGCATCTTCTCCCTGTAAGCTAAATGTATAAATGTACCTGACAGACATTTCTTCAATGTGTCCTATCACTCTGTCATATAATTGGCATGCTGCTTTCCCTTTAAATTAAACCAGATTTATTCAGCGATGTAAAAGCCTCCCACCTTTCTGTCAATATATCTCTGCACACAAAAATAGTGAAGTAAAGATTTTCCAGTCTGGTTAGCTATGAACAGATACTACATGGTGACAGTTCTTCTCTTGAACACAAAAATCAAACCCAAATTTGGGTTCTTTTTGGTGTATATCTATATATGTGTGTGTGTGCCTTGTGTATATATACGTAGGGGGTGTGTGTATATACACTAAAACGTATACATGCATGTATCATCAACGTTTTCACTCAAAGGAACAGTGGAGAACTTAATTGAATGATCAAAATTTCAATTAAAGAGATATAAGAGATTAGCATTTGTGAGATGGGCCTCCAGCAAACCATCTGCTGAGACAGGTATGAAGAAACTTGACTCGGCAATTGCCTTGATAATATTATAAAAACTACATAAAAAACCTGAACTGATGGACAGAGTGCTTTGGAATAAAAAGAAACAATTACTAATGTAGTTTCAGCCAAGTTCTTTCTATCTGTACCATATAGAAATTGAAAAATGCTTGTTCTGGTGAGAAATTTTTAAAGTTAACTTTGTGCCTTCAATACGAGCTTAGTTTAAAGCCCATTTACAACCAATGACACATTTTCAGCTCACTTTGGGGTTTCAGAAAACAGTGTGTTTTGCTGAAAGAGGAGAGATACAAAAAACCTCCTCTTTTAGTTTCTGTCATTAAATATTAGAACTGTGGAACTGTAGCCTTTTGTGTTTTCTAGTCAATTTTTTTAAGGTAATGGTTTTAATTATCTATAATTTTGACAAAGCTGGATGAAATTTTTCATGTAAGGTTACTTTAATTTATTTTGTCTTGATTTTAGCCAAACAATTTAGAGAAAATTTGTGGTTCACTAATAAGAAAAGAAATTCTTATTGATAATAGATTCTCATCAACTCTTAAATGCAAAGCTATAGAATTTCTGTGCTTTCAAAGCATGCAGCTAATATCTAGCAGGGCATATTCTTATAGAAAGCACAAGCTAGCCCTGTGTGTCAAAGCTTGCCCCAATTATCTGCTTTTAAAAATGCAACCTTCATGTGTTTAGAAAAGACAGCTTTACTGTGAGTAAGAAATTACATTTGTACTAAGAATGCTTCAGATTGAGGACACCAGTTATTTTCTTAGCAGCATCTGAGGACCCTGTATGATTCTCATGTATGTTAAGTCTGCTTATTAACATTGATAATAGGAGCCCATCTCAGTCTCAGTTCTTTCTTTCTTCCTTCCTTTCCCAACCTCAACTTCCCTAGAACAAACCTGGGGTTATAGCAACAACACAAAAACATACTCACAATTAAAGCAGTTGAATGAAAACCCATAGAACAGAATAATATTCTTTCCTTAGCTACTGAATTTCTATGTGCTAATGAGCGAGTAATTTAAAATAGACTATTCATGGATGGCCATTAATGGGATCTTAGAATTAGTGATCACCTGATTTCTGACCTGTTGTCCTGATGTGCAGACATACTGAATAGTAAAACCTGCAACAGAAAGTCAGCAGGAGCTTTGCTTTAAGCTACTGTACCACTGAGCTATTTGTAATGCTAAGTAGTCTGGAAAGCAGGTCATGGGTAGCTCAGTTTGTCAACCAAACTGAGGCATTTTGACCTTAATCTCCATGTATGACAGTATATGACAGTATGTCATCTTCTCATCTTTCAAGGTGATCTAAAAATAAATATTTTAAAAATAAATAAAGTATGGATGGGATGTTTGCTACAGAAAAGCAATAAGAGATGTTGGAAATTCTGGAATTGAAATAGGTTTATATAATGCAAATGGAAGTGCAGAAAGGCAAAAATAAAATTCATAACTTCCTCTGTTGAATCCAATCCCATTTTAATTCTTTGAATCTCTTCAGGTAAAGCAAATAAAAAAATACCCTTGGTATTTGGATTTAATGATTAACAATCTAGATGTTATTTCTTCCTTGAAGTTAACAACTAATGTATGACACATCAGTGAATAAACAACAAGACAGAAATAAATATTCCAGTCCAATTCCCTCTCTTCTAGGATGTGATTTTTCTATTATATAGAAAGAGAAGTAACTTTTCTTCTTCTACCTGTTCTCCAGAACATAAATTCTGGAAGATAATGAACCTTTATTCAACTGCTGCTTACTCACTCGTATTTTAACATAGTGTAAATGACTGGAGCAAATATGGAATTCTTGTCAACTTTGTTACTTTGTTAACTAATAGTGCTCATAGTTGTGGTAGTAGAAATTAAAAATGCATCAGATTCATTACGTTACCTAAAATGACATTTTCATTCCTGCGGTAATGAAAGTGAGTTAAACATATTTAACATTTTTTTCTTCTGCAATAATTATGCTCATCTTTTAAATCTAGACTCAGAGCAAATTTTGTACACATCCATCACTGTAAACAGCTTTCCTTCTCTTCAAAAGAAAGACTAAATTTTCTTTCTTCTGTTGTTTTTACCTTCTCTTCTTGCTATACTCAAAATTGCCATCATGATACCCAAGATTCTTTTTTGTATGAAGCTGAGAAACAAGACTCCGTTAAATGTTATTTTGTTAACTTAGTTTGCTGTAAAGTTACCTGCTACTCTTCATCTGGTAGCTTTTGAAACTTCAAGAATCTAAACAGGAGCATTTTTCTCAGTGCTTTGAGCTTGAAAATTTTCCAAAACCTACAGACTCTACATGAAGTTTGGTTAAAGTCATCAACACCTGCCCATTCTTGTCAACAAATCTCAGCTATTATTTATTTTCAAGGGTTTTTGACAAAGCAGATTAATCTAAACTTAAATCTGCAAGGAAATCTCAGATTACTGGAAGTAGATACAGTATTACATTTCACAAGAATGATTAAAAAGCACTCCAGTTGAGGCAGATGATGGCATTTCTGTGATGTGTGCAAACTGCTACTCTGATCATACTGTGAATTTGCTTCAAAAAGGAACATATAAAAGGAAAATATGTAATTGGCAAAGCTGCAAGTCAAATTTAATCAGGTCATTAGTTCAGAAACCCAATGGAGAGCTTAATTAGATGTGAATTATCTAATAATTGTGAGTATCTCTGATGTACATTTGTTTGGACATCTATTACTAAGGGTCCCTAACACTGTTCTAACCTTACAGTTAAAGTCAGAAACAACCCCTTTGAGTCCTGTGTTGGCTTCCAGCAATCTACATATTGTATCAAGTTATTAATGCGAATGTCAACAGATATGATTCCTTGTAAAAAATTTCTAGCAAATTTTTAGTGATTGTATTGTTTGTTTTCAAGTATGCTTGGTCTGAATAAGTTTGATTCTACATCTTTAGATGTCTTGTAATCTCAGGTACTCACTTGTGTCCCCGATTATTTTCACTAATTTGGCTTTTCATTTTGACTCCAGATAAAAAATTTGACTTTATGTCTATGCTAAAGTCAACACAAAGTCTCACCTTCCTTTCAGCTTTTTGCCAACACTTGTCTCTCCGACATAAAATACAACTTCAAACCTAGAATATTCTCAAATTTCAACAGAACAGATATAAATATAAAATTATAAAATATGCACTATAGCTTTTGTGTAGTCAACTAATACATTTCTGCCTCTTAGGCTCTTAATTTACCTTATGCAGTATCCAAATCCATCAGTAGAAGGAAGAACACGCAGTTATCCTCTTAGGAACCTAAGTAAACAATACAGGCACACTGTGCATTAAATCAAAAAATTACTTGTAGAAGTAAAGGTAGAAATCTATCCCATATTTATGGTACGTATATAAATAAATGCCTGATATTCAGTACTCAAAATTACTGTCAGGAAAATATGCTTGTGGTTCTTACTGTCAAATACAGACTTGTGAACTAAAGGGAATGTTTATAAACATTAAATGCAGTGTCTTTTTCCCTACGGGTACCAAGAAATATGATTCCAGTTTTCTAAAAGACATATTTATGAGTAGATTAGACAAGCACTTGTCACTATAGCAAGTAGGCGTGAAAGACCTTTCAGGGTCTTCAACAACAATCACTTACTCTGTTGCTGATTTTATATATATCTTAGTTGGAAATTTTAGCCTCTTTTTCATCTTCAAGACATTTGTATTGTAATGAAGTAATCACCTTGAGGGTGCTTGAATGGAAAGCTTCTCATGGTATGTGTGGCACTGCTGACAAGTATAACAAAGGTCTATGTTAGACCATCAACTTATATTCTGCTGCACTGAAAATTAGAAGAGAAAATGAGGCTGAAAAGAAAAAAAATCAGTAGTATAGTTTCCCTTAAAATCAGATGAGACATTATGAAGAAATAATCAAGCCAAAACTTATTTGAATTTCTCTGTCTAAATCAATACAGGAGTAGTCTGTCTTTGCAGTGATAAGATAGGAAGATTCACTCATTCTATCTGGGCTCAAGGCAAAAGTCACAGGTTGAAGTATAATCAAAAATTATCTTCTTGCTCTTTCTAGCCTTTTTTTTTTTTTTCTTATTCCTCTCACTCCTAGAGATGAAACTTCAGCCGATGATCTCAGAGCTTCAGATTATCTGTCACACAGAGAAAGGCTGTCTCAAGCTACCAGGACTTCTAGTCAGATATTGACAGATAAGATGTTCTGGGTGATAAAAATAGATTTAAAATCCAAAGTGACAGTTTTTTACTAGAATCATAGCCTACCTATTGAAGTCATGATATAAGATAAATTATACAATCTAAGTCTTCCAATCAATTTGTTAACTATCCTATGTATAATGAATATGATTTTCCTACTTATGGCAATTTCAATCCCCCACAAATCAACATAAATAATTTCATATTTTTCTCTAGACTAATAAAAAAAAAACTCTTCATAATATAAACAACTTCTACTTGATTTGAAAAACTTAAAAATTCAAGGGTATACTGACAGAAATAGTCATACTCCACATTAAACTAGTTTATCGTTCTAACTGAGCCCATGGTAACAGTGTAGTATTTAACAGCTTACTTAAAGAGATTCCTATAACTAGGAAACATCTATCAGCTTCAAAACTCTGTTCAGGCTTACCTTAAATTAATGCAGTGAGTTACACATTCCATAGGAGTAGGTTAGGTAGCAGAGAAGAAACAACAACTAAATCAGAAAAAAACTGAAAAAAAATTAAATTTAATGGAAAATAATTCCATCCACCGAGAATTAGATAGTTCTAATATAAATCCAGTTTGAACTGATGGGCAAACTATTCATGAGTCATTGCACAAGCCTAATAACACATGCTATTGGTCCAGGAAACAAGGGAGAAAGAAGTACATCTTCAAAAAGATGCTGTGTATATCTTTAGCATTGAATCAAAGTAGTTTAAATAGATATAAAAATATTACTCTTATGCTGATGATGACCTTGATGATGCTTTATTAGATCATTTAAGCCTGTGCATTAATTATTTTCCTAAAAGCACAGGACCCAGAAGAAGGAAAAAAAAAAAACCCAAAACAAATAACAAAAAAACCCTATATGTATAATTTTTCCCATATTTGGCTTTGGGTTCCAGAGGACAACATCCGCTATTGAAAGGGAGTTCGTAAAACCTGCTGCAATGTAGGAATCAGGGCAAGATGGAAAAGGAAGGTTATAATTTTTGTACAGATACATCACTTATCTGCACATAGGGTCTCAGCCCAGGAAACATCCTTCTGAGCACGATGACAAGCAATCATTGCCTGAACAATGCTACATTCAGCCAAGGTTAACATGAAGTGTTGTATCAGAAAAGAGGGAGTGTTGAAGAAAGGAGGTAACTTATGCCTGGAATGGAGATATGATCAACTGTGATCAACTGAGTGGTACAGAGAGCCCAAACAATGAGTCAGCAGAGTTCATGATAGATGTGCAGATAGAGGAGCTGACAATCAGTTCAGAGGTGTGAGACACAGCATACATCCCACAACATCATGGGTGCTGTTTGATCTCATATACCAGTATACAGGAGAACTGAAAAATACATGGACTTTTGTAAGTGAGTTTAAAAGTGTTGCTAGAAGAGATGAGAGTACAAAATTAGTTAAATGAATGAGGAAGCTGTCCTCTGGAGTCATGGCACGAAAGTCAATGTAGAATCAGCACCTTGGGGCCCGTACTTATATGGCCAAACCAAGACTAAAATCCAACTATGATTCAGTATTACAAAACATTTTGGATTTATAGGCTAAATGTATTACAGAACATATGGAAATGTAAAGTAGAACTTTATTTTGGATCAATGAAGTATTTTCAAAGTGCTGTGGTCATGTGGTCAATCTAATTCACTTGAGAAAATTAGATTGTAGACTAACTTTCCTTTAAACTGTTAAAATTATTTGCAAAATAGACATCTACATTTTCATGTAATGATGTGTTCACTCAAACTCGGTACCTTTTAGGATATCATAGAATAAATCTGATCAATTTTATATGAAAAAGTAAAATGTTTTGAAGTAAACATTGTGCAAGCATTCAATAAATTTAATGTTCTGAGCAATTATTAGATAGTTTAAATCAAACGTATATACTCCATTGCATGTGTAAAGAAATTCACAGCTATGAAAGCAAGAATTCAAAGGAAATATTCTTTCATGTATTCAAATAGAATCACAATAGTATAATGAAAATCATCAGAGCTAAACTACTACTACTAATGACAAACAACAGAAATAATAGTAACAACGATAACAATCCTATTACAAGACACCAGTCTGTACCAACATTTAACAATCCTCAGTAGAAATATATTCTCCTTTCCAGTCTCCTTGCAACATCCAAATAAAACCATACCAAGGTAAAGGAAGCTTTCCAGCACAAGCACAGAAGACAATTTCCTACATTTTCACTACATTCCTCAAGAAGATTTTTTTTTTTTAAATTATCAAAATGGTTCTGGCAAGACATGACTTGTAATTTACTGCACATCCAAAATTTAACTAAGCATTTAACTAAGCCTGCGCCTTCTCCCTTGTAATACTCACAAAGGTTTTATCAGCTTTGTCTCTTTATAGACTTTGCTGATAGAACCTCATGCTCTTTACAAGCAAAAAATATGAATTAATTAAGTCTCACAGCATCCATATTATGCAGAAAAATGACATCCACTTTACAGATAGGGAATTTCATGAGTTCATGGAAGTCAAATCAAGGTCATACAGAAGTCAGCTGTAGAACTGCCACTGAATTCAAGATTTATCCATAACTACAGTAAAGCTCAGGTCAAATTGAGAGGAGTCAAATTTTAATTCTTTCTCCAGATTCACAGTACCAGGCACTAACTTCTAGCTGTGTTTTGAAATAACAATGGCTTAGTCTTTTTTTTTTCTCCCTTGGATTGTTGGTTGCCAACACTGTTCAATTTGAGAAATAAACCAGGGACTATAAAGGAATTAAGAGAAAAAATTAGTAACACAGGAGTTAAACTAAACTGTTCTGACTCTCATCAGAGCAATTCCATGGTGAGATTACTCTGACAACTGCATCCATTGCAGAGATTTATTTCACTACATTTCATCTGCATCATACCTAGTCTTAGTCTATGACTTTTCCACAGTGTAAACTAGTTTAGATTAAGAGCAAGTGAGGTAGAAACCTTTCACTTGGATGATTTCTTGTAATCCAGGGTTCTAAGGACTAGTGTTAAAGAAATAAATGTTTTAGACATTTTTTGAGCCCATACAGACTACATATTTTCTAAATATTTTTTTAGGCATTGAGGAACCGCATTATTTTTAACACTTCTATTATATATACATTTCGTCATGGAGTGTACAAAGGTATTTCAGCAAATCATACTTTACCTTTATTTTTTTATTGGCTGTAGACTAGCTAGTAAAAGAGTAAAAGAAAGAAGCATTGTGGGAAAAAAGGTAACTATTGTTGGTGGGTTTTTTTTAATTATACTTAAAACATGCACTTTAAACATGCGCTTGCATTTGTCCTGCTTAAACATCTAGACAGATGTACAGTTAATATTTGCTTTCTAATTTATGTATTCGTATAAAGATTCTTGCTAAGCATCCACAGGTTATCTCCTCCACAGGAAGTTTTTTGGAACTTTAGCACTGTGGAAGTGATGTATATAGTTTCCATGTTCTTTAAAGCTTGCTTCTTTTTCATACTAATTATCCCCAAGCATTTGGTTAATCAATAGATACCTGCTCTGGCTCTTTCTACAAAGCAATGAACTGCAAATAAACTGTATAATCTCCTTTAGCATGCTATGTTTACAGCCCAAGGTACGCCATTCATAAAATGATGTATTATGTAAGCAGGAATGTGCTTTATCTTCACCTGAAAGCACATACACTTTTTTGGTTATGTTCAAATTCCAAGTTGATTTCAATCCACTCAACAGTTTTGACATTTTGCTCAAATTTTGTTCTTATTAAGAGAAAATGGAAATCACATTTTTTCAGCATTATTTTGTATTTCTTCCCAAACCACATATGTTATCTATTTAATTAAGAGGCCACATTTATTAAGGTTTGTATCTTCAGGTAAACACTAACAATGTGAGTTCCTCTCATCTAGAAATCGTCTGTACATTGGACAAAACTAATAAATAAATTTCTATGCATGGAAAGTTTTGTCAGGTTTTAAGATAGAAGCATGATTTGGAATGCTCTTTAGTGATAACCCCACCCAGGGTTTAGTCCCAAAACAACTCTGTGCTCTCTGTCTCCCAGCTTCACATTATTACTGGACCATGCACACCAGTAAGCTCCAGTGTTTCACTACCTTCATTTGCACCATATACTTTGGCTTCTCACCACACAGTGTATACAGGTGATTGACAGCCAAGTTTGACACCTGTCTCAACACTGGATGGCTATTCTCTCCTTACTGACATTTTCTGAACCTCCACTGGTGGGTTTCAGCTGAAAGACAGTGTCTACACACTTGCTAGTATTCTCATTTACATAGGTGAGCCTATTAAACATAGCTCTTTGTGTAGATGATCAGATTGAGGAGAGTTAAAACTCAAATAGAATGTCTAGTGAATTGTGCAGTGAAAACATGCTACTGAACACAAATATCAATTTGAAAGCCACTTGTAAACCCTAGATGAATTTTTCTCACTGCAGCTAAAAGAACTGGAATGGTTTTAATTTATAGCCTGACAGAGAGCAGAGGGGACTAAGGTAAACAAACAGAAGTAGGTTTTTATCTTCCTTTAAAAACAAAATAAGCCAAACAAGCTCTTCAGACTTTCATATCTTCCAATCAAAAAATTAATTAAGGCATTATTTAAATTGACATACATAAATAGTGCAAAAGATTGCAAGGACATTTACTTAATTAAAAATGAGGCTTATTTTATAAACCAGACTTTAATTCAGCTCAAACAAACCCAAACTAATTAGAATTGGTGTATTTCCTATATTTATATAAGGCTCTGGATTCCTCTGAAAAGTTCCTTACTTATGATCTCTGAGTATAAGGTATTTCCTGACAAAGCCATTGGCCATATTATTTCAAGAAATTTTAAGCAGAGCACTCCATTAACCATAATTAAACAGTCTATTAAGGAAAAAAATGGTGCCATATGACCATGCCTTTCAAGAAGGCTTGGAAAGAATTATTTATTTACTCTCATTGGGAAACACATATACTCATGATATCTTTGGTCTCAGTTTAGCAATTTCCACTACACTGTGCTATTTTCTGTCTCATCTTCACGGAGAACTCATTTGCAGGCAGCAACAAACATGAATGGAGACACAGTCATGGTTTAAACTTTCTCAAATTAATACAGGTCTTAGGTTAATTTTTCTTTGCGTAACCAAAACTATACAATGGTATTACTTTTCTATGAGCAACTTAAACTCCTTTTCTTGACATTAGAAACCAAATTTTTTCTTCCTTTTTTTTTTTCTTTAAGAATAATGTGAAGTTGACAAAAGTCAGAAGTCAGCTCAACAAAGAAAATAACAAACTTAAGTTTTCCCATAGTATTATGATAGTTGGAAATGCCATTCTCACAAATACAGCATGTGTCACACCAGGGTACCCAGAGCTCTGGCCTACGATGATTTATTACAAACAATAATTCTGTATCCTGGCAGTTGCTGGAGCAAGGCTGTGCTTGAGGCCTATGCACATACATATTGGAATTAATGAAGCAGCAGCTTATGCAGTTGCAAACAGCTGGGGGTGCTTAACTTGTTTTTCTCTACAGAATTTTTGGATTTCATTTGTTTCTGGCAGTTATGGTATGCAGTAAAAGGGAGAATGGTGAATGAAGAGAAATGGAGATATGCAAAAGCAGCAAAATCTGGACCTATGTCAACAAAATATGCTCCTCTCATAATATAGATACGTTTATTTTAATATTTCACCTTGTCTTATTATTTCTGCTTTCTCCCCAAATGCTGTATTTGATGTCAAGAAGATTGACTACAAATATGTCTGCAAAATACACCAAGTAGCATGATACAGACCTTCAAACTCCTGCTGAATCAAGTCTGCCTCAAAACCAGAAAGAAAATAAAAATGGGCTTCTAGCTGTTCCCAATGCGGTCCTGTTCTTTCTGGACCTGTGATATTATTGTATCCAGAGCTCTTAAAAAACTTGGCACAGCACTATGCTAGGAGGATATGACACCTCTGGTTTGCACCTCATCTGGAATTACTTTCCTCTTAAACCAACTATTGTACATAAATTGTACTCACAACAGCAATTTATTTGTGATAGTTACTGTGTGCAGCTCTACAGCTCCAATGCATTCTTAGGGCAACTGGTATGTTCTCACTTTTAAAGTTCTTAGCAAAAATTAAAATTTAAAAAAGTAATAATGGGACAATTATAATTGTCTCATTATAAAAAGCAATAATGGGACAAACATAAAACAGTGCATCTGAGAACAGATATTAATAGCACTACATCCAGTTGCTGCAGAACATGCAAACAGTCCTGAGCTGCTGCTGGGGAGCACTTGTTAGGATCAGAGAGAGGGAGGCAAAGATGGGTGTTTCAGCAGCTGAAGAGAGGTTGAAGGGCAGCTGCAGAAACTGGAACATATGTGATGCTTCATGCAGAGACTGTGGGCTGTGCAGCTGGCTTAATTCTCTATGGAATGTTCCTTTTCTCATGAATATTCCTTTATTCACTGCATCTCCTCCAAAGGGGTTGGCAGTGCCGCATCACAGGATGCTGTCTAGTACTCTTCAGAGTCTCACTTGCTATAGCTTTTTAAGTCAGCTAGAGCTCTGAAATGATTGCTTACAGCTAGGGCATGTTTTGATTGCTCTCCTGTCTTCCTTAGGCTATTCAAACGAAGGCAGCAGCTGCATTTTGCCATTCACAGTCATTTATGCCTAAAGGCTCATGTTTCCTGTCAAAAGTTGGAAACAGTGATTGTATGTGATTTTTGTTCTTTAGTTTAATCGTACATCACCGATATGTTTTCATAGCATTTTCCATCTAGTAATGACTTTATTGATCCATTCTTCAGTCTTTCATCTTTCCATGCATCTAAGCACATTGTAACAAACTTCCACTGATCATTTTGTACCTTGAATTGCACATAAGTATATATTATAGAGCTATTCAGTAATCACTCAGTATCAACAGGCATACTATACAAGGGCCCAAGACAGCCAGACATTCTTAACTGTCACTGGAAATAATCACAGTTAAAAAGGAACAGAACTAAGCTGCTACCATCTGCTTGGTCTGTTTCCCATTGCATATTCAAAATGAAAAAAAAAATTAAAAAATTATAAGAAAACAAAAAAAGGAAAATAAGCCTATGACCACAAAAGCAAACAATTAAAAAACTTCCTTTCTTTTTTCTTACTAAGAATATTAATTCACATGCAGTGGCTGTAACATTTAAATTTATTTTTTTAAGACATATATTTTCACAATCAAGAACTTTATGTCCTTACATTCTAGACATCCTCATCAAGATGAACAGTAATATCTAAATATACTTACTTTACTCTGATATACTGTCCTTTTTTTTTCTCTTATGGTTTTCCAAAGAATCGAACATATTTGTGTTGAAATTAAATCTTCTTTTACCGCATCCATGCTTTCAGTGTCTATCACATTCTACTGCTACACCCACAGTGCTGGATTTCTAATATTGCTAATATCACTTCCATAGCAACACACTAAGACATCATAAACTTGGCATTACGGTTTTATTCCTAGATTAGGTCTAAGGAGGAGCTGATTTCAAAAGGCAGCTCTTATTAAAGCATACATATACGTGATAATCAAAAGTAATTGCCAGTGGAATACAGATAATGGACTTTAGAGTTCTGTAAATCAGTTTCACAAAAAAGTTGTCTCTTTTCAAATCTGACCAAGAACAAAGACCTTGTTTTGCTAGTGATATTCAGAATATATTTCCCCAGCCATCCTTAAAGAAAGCACCATATAATCACAGAGATTCAATTACTAAGAAAGATAATATTACTCTTGTTTTCCACTTGCTGGATTCAGTTCATTACTCAGTGGATACAGCACAATGTAAAATGGGGGCTTTTTAGTTGCAAATATTAAGAATGCACAAACGAACACACAGAATGAATAAATGAATGAGAAGGAAGTCAACTTCAAACACTGCCAAAATAATTTTATCAATAAATCTTTTTACTTTTAAGCACAAAATGTAATACGTTAAGTAGAACACATATCATTTGGTCAGCATTCTGGCACATCTTATGATATATAATGACTAAGGACAAATGGGCTCCACTTGTTACTTCCTGGCAGGAGTCTTAAGTAAAATTGTTAAAGGAGGATAATGAAAAAACCCACATGCAGGTTGTATTGCCACATGCCTTGCAAATGGGTGAATATCTAAGAAATAAAAGATGCTATCTGAGAAGTAACTAAATCTTCTTTGGTTTTACTTTGCGTATTTTTCATTGGCAACAGTCATGATCATAGAGGAAAATACTTCTACTCCCTTGGTCTCTACACAGGTTTTCTTCGGGGTTCATCAGGAAAAGAGAACATCCAGTTCTCTTGATTATGAAGTAGCACGTGGAAAAGGAAAGTCCACTTGTCTATTTCTAAGGCATTCAAAAGGGTTACTCTTACCTAGATAATATTTCTAGATAATAGGGAAGGTTCTGCAAGGGTAAATTCAAAGTTAAAAAAATCCCCAAACAGTAAAAAAGAATGAGCAGCTTTCAGCAGAGAATACCTAAGGATCTGTTTTCTTTAATATATTCACAGCTTCCCTGAGAAGGTGAAGAAGAAAGATCATTGAGAATACAAGAATACAAGGTCATTGAGAATAGTGCATAACTTCAGAGGAAAAAATTATATCAATATATGCAATTATATCAACAATACACAAGTATAAAAATATATACAACAATTGTAACAATAAAATGGCAGATAAAAACAGGTGTAGAAAGATAGTGATGTATATGGGGGAAAAAATGTGAATTTCACATATAAAACAATGAATGCTATGCTTTCTCAGGAGTGTTTTTTTCGACTCAAAGCTTTGGAGCAGTGAAAATAAATGAATTGAAGGCAAGAAACAATAAGGAAAGGAAAAAATGGAAAACATTGCCATGCTGTCATTAAAATGCACTGGTGGCTTGAATAACTTACGCAGTTGGATTTCATCTCAGTAAATTTATGGAGTAACTGGGAAAAGTCCAGAGAAAAGTAATTGGTATGACTTAAAACTAGAATTCTTCAATCTGGAAATAAGACAGTTTATAGGAAGACAGATGAACATCTCTATATCATAAAAAAAAGTGAAGAGAGGCAAGAGGAAAACAGCAATTAACAGTCGTTTCCAGAACAGATGACAAAATTAAAAAAGAATACAGACTGTAGGTGCAGACCTTTGGAAGAAATGAGCAGGAAGGAGAGGTTAATACCTGGTCAAAGAAACTTTTGCTGCCAGGAAAAAGCTTTAACATCGGAAGGAATTTGTTCTCATGCAGGATGCTGTGTATGTTTTCTCTGCTGAGAGATAACTCCCTTGCTATAAGTAATGAAATTCTCACAGGCATGCTTGGAGGCCCCCACAGGGGGGCCAGGCAGGCCGTAAAGCACGGGGGCAGAACACAACCTGGGGTTTTATTGAGCATGCAAAAGGTGTTGTTATAAAAGCACCAAAATGGGTTTTCCTTTTCACCTTCTCGACCACCTGTATTCATCATATATATGTGTGTGTGGCAGTGTTCTCGGCTGTTAAAATAAATTTTCTTTAAAACTGTGGTTGATTTTTTTGGTTTGTGGTGCTTTATTCTTAGGTTTTGTGTTGTTGTTGTGTGGTTTTTTGTGTGTGTGGTTTTTTGTTTTGGTTTGGTTTTTTGGGGTGTTTTTTTGTTTGGTTGGTTTGGTTTTTTTTAAGTTGGTTGGTTGCTTTGGGTTTTTTTGAGACGCATGTTTAATTATTCAGTGGAACTTCTTGCTGTAAGATCTTGTGGGCACTAAAATCTCACCCAGTGATGTATGGGAAAATATAGTAGATCCCTTTGGAAATGCCAACCACACTGACAGTAGTGTGTTATAAACAAAGACATCCTCCTCAAGTTTACAGATAACACTACATTTAGTGGTGCAGCTGAAACCTCTGAAGGATGGGATGCCATCTCTCTAGGCTCCTATGAAACTTTTAAGTGCTGTTACTTCATGTATGTCTTGAATATAACTTTTTTTTTTAAATAGCAATATGTCTCTCCACAGTATTAGAACTACTTGTGCCAAGCTCATGTACTCAGAAGGAATATAGGTCAGTGGCCAGCAATCTGCACTTGTTCTAAAGGTACAGTGTCAAGCAAATGCAAAACTAGAGAAACACCACACTGCAGTGTGGGAGAAAGTATCTTTAGGCACCATGCTACCTGGAAAGTGGATTCTTACCCACAAAACCAAAATTTTAAGTTCTACCTTACAAATTGTAACCAAAGGAATAATTTGGTAGGCAAGACAGAACAAAGTCCCAGCTTCACATTTACTTAGTCTATAATTTGCCCTTCTTCCAACATGCATGAAGGGAACAGACAACTCCTTTCTTCTTTCAGGAAAAAGAAAGAGTAATTGTTCCCTATCGGGGACAGCACATTAGCTAACCATTAATTAAAAACATGTCAAACAAAGTTTTTAACAGCTAGAAACCTTTGTTTTAATATTTGAAGTGTATCTGGCAGACTTATAATTTCAAACATACTGAAAGAAAGTATAACATGGAAAATGTCCTGGAAAAGAGAATTTCCACTTATACATGTTAATAACCTTAATTGCTTTGGATTGCAGTTAGTATTTTGTGTAGGGACATGAAAAAAAAAGTGTTGTGTTTTTTTTCTTTCAATGTTCTTTCAAAATAAATATTGTTGCATGACGAAATGAGAGCATGAATTAATAAGTAGGATAAAAAAAAATATTTTTCCCAGTTTCTTATTTCTGCATCTTTGTGATATTTAGCATTTTTTTTGCTTTTCTGTGTTTATAATTTTATATCTCTTATAATTTAAACTTCCCTTTATATGCAAATTTTTGAGTAGCATGGTAAAGGCATTTTTTCTTTGCATTTCAGATACTACATGAGAAAAACCTTACAGTTCACTTCACTACTCTTTTCAAAATGAGATCTTACAAGATTTTTTTCTATCTGCATGGATTGACTTGTTTCTTCAACTGAAAGTATGGAGGTATTCTGACTAGATGAAAAAAATAACACTTCTGGGGCTGAAATTCATTCTCTACTGAGACACTATGCCTGGTCTTGGTTAAGTTCCAAGGAAATTCTAGTTTTACTTGCATGGGAACCATATCAAGATCTAAACCTGATGTACACTGCGTACACTGATTTACCTAACTGCTCCAGAATCATATCCCTCCAGTTTAGGAACAAGATTATGTGCCTAAATATGAAAAAATTCCAGAATTTGATATAAAATAAATCTGCAAAGACACTCAGCAAGGTGCTGAGCATCTAAAACTAACACTACTTGAAGACTTGTCACCAGCAACTGTTTCCCACAGGCACTGAGTAAAACTACATTCCTTGGCATTAGTTCTGCAGAAGCCAAGAAATATCAGTTACGTAACTGTAGTTTTGTGGTTCATTCACCAGAACCACTGTAATGGACTATAGGAATTTTGAGCTAATAATGTGATTGTACTTACGGTATCTCCTTCATTTACCGTGAGCTCAGTGCTATTCCAAAATGCATGGGATTTTTCCTTAAAACTAAGCAAAATGGGAGGAAAATCATGCATATACTTCTACAGTTTTTCTGTTTCGCACTCAGCACAGCTCTTTTCCTTAAAATATCAAATACTGGCTCTCGTTTGGCACTACTCTTTCAGCATATTTAGTTTTGTGGACAAGTGTTTTCCTTTTGCAGATAGAAACAGTTTTGCTATGCTGCTGAAAGGAGTTTTGAAATATAGGTACATATTTTGCATGGCTGTCATATATGTACTTTCAAATGCTTAAAAATAGGACTCTCTCTCCTGAATTTCACACAAATCTATGAATTGTTGACTCTTTTCCTCCACTAGAAGTAAGCTACTATAGGACAGTAACAGGCTCAATGCCACACAAATTACCATTTCAGATTACCATTAAAACAATTGTTTTCTCACCAAGACTTGTTCAAAGCACAGAAAATGCAGAAAATCAGTTACGTTTTTTTTGTTGTTGCTATTTCTTAAACTGACGTGTATTCTCAGTGACATTTATGCAGTTAACCATAATTTGTACTTTTCCTTTTCCATTGGTGTTTAATGGATATTTGTTGATTCTGTTATACTGAAGTGATAAACGCCTGTTTCCTGCATTACCTTGCATTATTTCACCTGAAAAGGTCATGACACTCCTTTGGTTAGCAGTTAGTTGAAAGTCCACTACGATAACTCATTTACTGTGGTATTTGTCACTGATACTGAGACAGTGTTGTAAAAGCTGATGCATTTGAAGCTTTCCTTCTTTTTCCTGAAGAGGTGATTCCCCCCCTCAAATTGCTCAATACCTCTTTCTGCTCAGTAACAAAGTGAATGAGAAGACAGGTGAGTAGCTGAAATAAAACATCCTGCAAATCAAGAGTATCCTGATGGAACA